GGTTATCATTGGCGCGCTTTCCAACCCCGCCACGTTACTTTAGTGGTGGGTAGATTCCCTGTGGTCCGGCTATGTACATTTAATCTTGCGAGGATGATGTGGTTCCCTATTTAAACCCCGGGGCTTGAGTTGTCGGTCTCCATGATTGAATAGCAGATCCTCGTGAATAAGGGGTTTACGACGTCTGTTGTGCATCACACAAGTGATGAAAAAGGGGCGTATTCACTAGTCATAGGTTTTAATTAGGCTATTATCTGGAAAAGACGGTAAATCCTTGGGGTGACCATGAGAAGTGGTACAAGTTACCACCAAAATGAACCGGTTCGTACCTTGCGGTATCCAAATCCTTCACATTTCCGAGAGCGCAATCCTTAAATATTCAATGTCAAACACAATGTTCGGCATAATCCAATTAAATATTTTTGCCATCTGTCAAAAATTCTCTGAATCCCAATGCAGACTCCCAGTAGATTACTACATCTGGCAATGGGCACTGGATTGCGATCAATTTATTTACCAAAAAATCCTCAAGATTTTTTTCGAGAAAGCAAAAATGACGCCTACGAATGACGGTCAGATAGTGCATACTACCTATATCATTCATTACAGGATGCTATGTGGAATGCGAGCCATTTATTGCTTTTTTTAACACAGCTGCCTTGTACGATCGCTCGTTCTCAACGATTGGCTTGTAGAAAGGTAACATCAGATGAACCACATGTCAAACATCATGAGTCATCAATATGAAACGATTTTCAACTAGCGACGGAATATCACAATAAAAATACACTTGCAGTCAATCAGACCAAAGGGTTTCACATGTTCTTAGTTATCTTTTGACATTGCCCCTTTTCTCTCAAGACAGATATGCGAAATTTGGCGAATGGACAGAGGCAGTAAAAAAACAAAGGAAGAATCTGGCTGTCCGATCGACCATTGTGTAGCGCTCAGAGTTCACACCGAAGACCCACAGAGAAGCACCGAAAGGATGGGGACGGTTGGATGGAATTTACAGCATCATGCGGAAGTGACAGAATATCGGTATGAGAGGAATCGCACTACGGGCGCTTGGAAACTTCGGCGGACAGCCAATCAAGACCCTCATATAGACCTTGTCCTTGGGTGGCACATGCCTTTTGAATATACCACTGAAAAGTCAAAACGAAGATTGCGTTCAATGATTTAAAACAATGCGGAATGGAGATGGAAAATGATTCACCGGAGTAAAACAAATTTACACGAGTTAGAACCTACAGCCATTGTGGGTACACAGTCAGAGTAGTATTTTGCGCATAAAGTGAAGTACGGTTTTTTTTATTTTGATCAGAAACACAAACGTTTACAGTAAGAAGGAATAAGCAAATAAATTTTACAGTTTACTGGAATCGATCGTTTGTGACATTAGTGACGATAGGGTTCATCGCGAATTCATAAGAAATGAGTTTGGTTATGGAACTTTGAATTCTAACAAATTAAGTCACTAACAGGCCAGTTTTAGAAACTGCGGCTTTCGATATGAACAGCTTTGTTTTGCTGGTGTTTTAGGTATCCTTGACAGAATGTTATTAGCAAATATACTCTTGCGCTCCGTGCTCGGGCGACAATTACTTAAAACGCCATTGTTTTGCGCGGAAAATGTACACTTCAGTTCTCACCCTGCCGATGTTTTGTCGCATATGCATCTTATCTGCGTAGGAATGGAACACAGGTACCAACGGGAATGCACGTACCACTCTATTCACGTGATATACGAGTGTAAACATTTACTTTAGCCACGTAAGAAACGGGTTCTGACCTGAAATTGGCACTGGTTTAATCTTTTCGGTGGAAAATTAGCGATGAGTCACTCAGATCTGGGAACCAATCGATCAATGAAAATGTGGTTTTGTTTGGTGATAACTGATAGTCGTTGACCATCAGAATCATATGACGCCTGACAATGTACGACGCGTAAATAATATATTCCAGCCCATTAGCACAATTCTGATGTCGTGAGAACAAAGGTCTCATGACTAAAACAAAACAATAGGATAATAACAATGGAAAGCGAATTATGCAATGCACTNAGTTGCCTAAAAAGGGTAATCTGGATAATGCAAAATCACAAACCGCAAAGTTTTCTGTTTTTAATAAGCAAAGAAATAGAGGCGACACCTGACAGAGAAAGAGATTCGAAAAAACCACCAGATTCCGGTGGTTGCACTTCCACAAACTAAGCAGTAAAAGACGGTCAAACCAGTTTACACAAACTCCTAAGGAAAACAAACCTACCGGTCGATTTCGAATTTCACGAAGGCGTAATTTGTCGGTGAGCTCAGCCGGAGACATGGCATTGGGTAGATCTTGTTTGTTTGCAAATACCAGTATGACGACATCACGCAGTTCGTCCTCGGAAAGCATGCGATTCAATTCATCAGCGGCTTCACCAACACGCTCGCGATCGTTGCTATCCACCACGAAAATGAGACCCTGTAAGCGTTAACACACTAAACAGAACCCGGACGCATACTTGTGTATTCTGAAAATAGTGTTTCCATAACCGTCTGATTTTGTCCTGTCCGCCGACATCCCACACGGTGAAACTGATGCTTTTGTATTCTACCGTCTCCACATTGAAACCAATGGTGGGAATCGTTGTAACAACTTCCCCCAGTTTTAATTTATAAAGTATAGTAGTTTTGCCAGCAGCATCCAATCCCACTATCAAAAAAGAATGAAAGATACATTTCATCTCACCACACTAACTCCAACAAATCAGAAAGTGAGCAGAAATTAATATCAAAACAGATTTTATATATATATATATATGTAATGTCAACAGTTTGAGTCCAAACTGAGTACCAAACAAATAACAGAACAAGTTTCTTCATAAAACAATCCATGATTTACCAGCGAATGGGATCCTGCCAGATTTCTCAGGCTAAAACAAGGGAATTTTCTCGAGGAATCATCGGTTATCTAAAAGTATCGGGAGGGGTCCGATGTCCAGTTCATTGGATCATATGCTCTGCAAGGGTTTGAACGTCCAACGTGCCCAAAACACCCCGATGCCTCAAAGAACCGATGATCACACTGGCACAAGGTGTTACAATTAGTAGTTTACGGATAACTCAACGAAGTTTCACACAACCGGTTTCGCGATTCGTGCCGCTTGTCAGACGTGCGTATCCGGTAATCTTTCATCACTTCATTCATATACTTGCACCCAGAAGGTGCCAGTTTCCCCGTACAAAACATCGAATTAAAGTAATCATTTATCAGCCGACTGGTTCTGAAAGGGATGCCCAAAAACCCGGTGTTGCAAATGAAGTTACTATGACGAAAGTAAGGTGTGTGGTTCACACGTCCCTTCGTGGTTGGTTTGGAACCAGCGTTCTTAATTTCCGAAAAACTGTATGGTTGCGTATCGGCGTTTCCGGTTATGAATAGATGCTCCTTCCTTGAACCTCGCGAACTGCTCCTACACGACCAGTGCTGTCGCACTGCAAAGAACTATATGACTTTAGAGTCAGGGTCCGCCATTGATTGAGATTCGGGTTAGTGGTGGGGGCCTGGACTTCACACGAAGCATTACCGACCTCAACAGGTTTGAAAGTATAACGTAAATTAACTGTAAGCATCTTAGGAAAATCGCCAGCTTCGGTTTCGGCAATCTGGAAGCGCTGAACCCACGAGGCATGGATTGAGTTCCTTGTTACAAAGGTACTTGCTCTCTGATGTGGCTGAAGTTTTTACCTCAGATTTTTTAATCAGACATTTTGCGTGACGAACAGTAGAAGGAGTGGACCCCATAGTCAGGAAGACATGCTGTTCATTGGTGGAAACCGGGATTCGGAATGGTGAAGCACGTAAGGTCCCGTTAGGTTAGGTACGGTACTGAACCGGACGACAGTAAAGCTGTCTACCACCAAAAATAAAGACATGCAATGCACACAAACCTAACGAATGATAAGTGAAAACATGTGAATGAGGTTGGGTTGGGAGAATACTATTTCAAATAAACTGTTAGGGGGAACACGATTTACCCAAGGGACACTGCTTAACCTTAGATACTCCAGTGACCGACCCTAGGACAAGTGAGGACTCATATCAACCATTGACCCCAGTTCACCATCTCCAATAGAGATGGGGTCTCCGGTAGCGACAATACCCCTGGTACAAGAACCTGATATGTTCAATTTTGGCCCCGTGACTTTGCTTGCAACGGTCACAAATCGACAATCATTTGGAGGGTGGGCTAAACCACAGCGATTTATTTGAAAAAAGGCTACCGCAGACAGGGCCCTGCTATTGTTTATGTTATTCGCATGCGATTTTAGACCAGCTTGACTATGCATCGAGCATTGGACATTTGATGTAATGAAATGGACACCAGCATTTAATAGATTACGATTTTCAAAAATCACAGCTTTGGCCTATGCAATCTGCCTGCCTTGGCCTGGGAAGGTATCGCGACCATAAATAAATCATCGAACCTTCGTTTTGTATAAAGATCACTGTTCTGCAAATTAATTGGTACACAGTTTGGACATAAACAGGGTGTGAAAACTCATATATGCAAACTAACGGCATTCCGACCAAAAGCTAGTTACGAACCCATTTAGTGGTTAAAAAGATTTTAGCATTGCGAATTATCGGCACAATCTGGCACTTAGATGAGTATTCAATACAATTATATACGGCTTTCGTGGTATTTGACTCGATCGTTGAAATAAAAAATCCTGCAAACCTATTTACCCCCGAAAGCCTCAGTATAGTCGAGGGTGGACGTCTTGGGTTGTGGCTGGTCACTCTTCCCTTGAACCTCTCGAAATGTTCCTATACAACCAGATCTACTGGGTACCTTAGACGTTTGACCCCGTCCAAAGGGTGAATGATCCGATGAATTGGACACCAGCCACCAAAGGACTACGATTTCTACATACTGTCCCCTGCCTTGCAAGTGAGGCTTCGGTTGCGAATTCCCTGAGAAAATTTACCTGCTTGGGCCTTAGCAACCTAGCAATATCGAGCCTTCGAGGATATCATGGAGCTTACTTTTCATGAAGATTCTGGTGGCGTAATTTGTTTGGCAAACACTCTGGACTCAGACATATATTGGCACATGGTTTTGTTCAATTATGGTGAATGAACGTGTACAAGCATGCAAAGATCATTAAACATAAAAGTAGAAGGTCAACTCCACGATAAGTGGATTGACTGTATGAAACTTTTGTGCGCATAAGGTTGCGTGATATAATCGAATAAGCTTGTTTGTTGTCAATAAGCGATTGAGGAGATTAAACGAAATAGTACCATCTTATGACATGTCTTCTTTCTATACTGTGGATATTTTCTAAGCTTAAATATGCATGAAGCAAGTGAGGATATGTAAAGTGGATTGATTGGATCTATTTTACGTAGGGGGGGAGAGTGAATCTCTATGGTCAACACCCAGATTGCCGGACTCAAGAGTGCCAACCACCGGAGCCAACTAGCTGACCTCCCCACATGTGCCCCTGATCGAGCTAGCGACCGTGCTCACACCCTCGATTCAATCTCCTTTCTTTCTTCTCCAATATTTGTACTCTTCCTCCTCTTGGCTCATCGGATCGCTGCAGTTTTTAGCTCTATCAAATTTACCAGCACTGATCCACCACCTGCCTCGAGACATACAGATTCTGGCGGTACAACTCAGCCAACTGAGACAGTTTTCGTGAATTCCTAGCTTCTTCTCCTTGGAGAACGTTTCTAAATCTGACTCCAACTTCACCAGCACTGTTCTTCAGGATAACCATATTTTGTTCCGCACATTTCAAAACCCGGCAAACCCAAATACCCTGAGTGGTTCAACCACGCATGTGATCGTCCTGTACGCCTAAAACACTCAAAATTTCGCCGTGCATTTACTCTCAACTCGCATCATTACTTCGCACAAGCTAGGAACAGATGGTCGACAACCATCCAGAAAATGAAGAAGCGCTTCGTTCGCTGTTAAGCCAAAAGTTTGGTCACGTTCACCACCAGTAGCCGAATATTTTGATCCCTTGCCAAAGCAATTCCCGTAATTTCTACCCTTCCAACTTCTGTAATTCCTTTGGTGACCTTGTATGGCAACCACACTAGACAGCTGAGGTTTTTGCTTCTCAGTTAGCTGTCTTACCCAATTATGCTACTCCTTCACTTTAGTCCTATTTCATTGGCAACGCTTTTCTAGTTCATATTAGCGCTAGGAAAATCCGCTAAACATTGCGCTTTCTAAACGCAAACAACTCCCGGTTCGGACGGCATTCCACCCACCGTCCTCAAAAGTATGCTCCCGAGTTGATGCCTACTTTACATCGTCTTTTTAGTCTTTCCCTCCAACTTTCTACTTTCTCAAACCCTTAGAAACACGACGTGAATTTTCCCATTCCCGAACGCAGAGAACCTCCTGATCCTAGCAATTACCGGCTTGTCTCCATCACATCTAATCTTTCGACAGTATTTGAGACCATCATCTCCGACCAAATACGCGTTCCTTGAATGTGAAGGACTACTGAGCGACCACCAGCATGGCTTCCGACAGCAACGTTTCACCGATGACCTCCTGGCTCTTGCCTCACAATCCTGATTAGTTGCGCCGGATAACCACGGAGAAACATTTGGTCACGTTTCGATCGCTTTCGGCACGCAAATCCACAGGCGAAACTGCCCATGTTAGGGTTCCCTATGACTCTCGTATCATGGGCATTAGGTCTTCCAAGTAACCCAACCATCTCCGTCCGAGTTGATGGGGTTCTATCGCTACTGTCCCGTGTGAATGTTGGCGTTCCTCAGGGTTCAGTACTTAGGTCCACACTCTTCTTGTTAACAACGACATTTTTAAAACTGTCAACCTAATGCATTATTTTGCCGATGACGCCACCGACCACTGCTCCCTTCCCTACCGCAGTATTCAACAGGCGCAAATCAATATCGATCGTGACCGTAGCGCAATTAATGGCTTACTGGACACTGATCTCGAAAACATCTCCCTCTGTGACGACTATTCTCTCATTCAATGCTTCGAAAAACTCCCTTTTTTCAACTTCTTTAAAACATTATTCATCCCCCCACACACACATACACATTCATCTTTTGATTCCACCCAAGTGTGTCCCCATAGACTGTTTCCTCTCACGGCGATCAGTGAAGCTCGCTTCACTGTATCTCGCTGTGCGATGATGCTGACCTCACGGATTGCCTACAACTTCTTTATCCTGGTCCCCTTTTATATGTCAACTTGCTTCTCGTGCCACACGCAAGATCATTTCATTTTATTCCGCATCAGACTCTTCCTCACATTAGCTCATCTTCTACTGCACAAAGCGAAAAATCCACCTTACAGTTACTAGTGAGGTGGGGGTTCATCTTCTCTTTCCTTACTTGATCGTGTTCAACGAAAGGCCATCCAGCTGATCGATGATCCTTCCTTAACTTCCAATCTACAATCATTAGCTCAAAGTCCAGTAGTCGCTCCACTGCCTCTTCTCTACATTACTGCTTTGGTTTTTGTTCTTTGATGCTTGCCTCGGCAGTGCCTCTTCCTATAACTTTTGCCCATCTATCACGTAAACAGATATCTAGTCACCCTTATCAGATTTCGGCCACCAGATGTTGTACTTCTCGGCTTCAACCTTTTCCCTCGAAATACCAAACTGTGGAACAAACTTTCTTTGTTCCCCCACTTCACAACCTTACACCCGAAACGCAGAATCAAAGACTGGATCT